CTTCTCACTTTTTGGCTGGTCCTCTCTTTTCCAAGATGCATGTCAAGAGCCACAGGCTGGGTGTGTGCACAGGATGGAGTGCTTTCTTAAGCATGTATTGAGAGCACAGACTTCAGAATAGTCTGGACATGGAAGTATGTCATAAAGATGAAAAGCATGTTTCTGTTTCTCCAGGAACGTGCTCTGGGCAATCAGTCCTTCATCAGGGGCTTCCTGCTCGTCAGTTATTCTGTTCCTTCCTGCTGCTCTCCCATGTCCAGCCAACAAAGCTCTCTGAGTCACCATGGTGGCTGCTTATTATTGGGCCTCAGCCAAGGCTCTGTGTATCACCATATATTACAGAGCTCCTGAGGGCTCTTTTAGGGCTCCTTCCACCTTGGTATGCTCTTGTTCCTCTGACTGGAATGTGTCTGGAGTGTGTGGGGACATCTTGTTTATTGTCCTTAAGCACCTCTATGCTGGATGTTTCTTGATAGTTTTCTAATAGTTCTTCTATCTAGATAGCCTTCTAGACTATTTTCTGGTAGTCTCTGCGGTGCCAGAGCCACACACCAGGGATTCCAGGAGTTCCTGAAGTAACAAGATGTCTCCATGGGGAATGTGTAGTGTGGTGTGCCCCAGCTCTTTCATCTGGCTCACAGGAGGCTGAGCCTTATTTCAGTCTGCCCAACAAATCCAAGCTTGGCACGTTTGTCAGGCATCTCCTGTGACCTGCTTTGCCTTCGTGGCCTGCCTCACCACTGCTGCCTGGGCTTTACCTATGCCAGCTTTTAATTTCTATTTTAAAGAACAGGACAGGATTTCCTCCCACACATAGATCCCCTTTATCCCTGTTGCATTTCCTTCACCGGGGGTCTTTCTCCAGCCTGAGTGAAATCGTTGCCCACAGCCAACAAATTTCCCATTTCTGGCTCCATGTGCCTGTGTGCATATGAGTTGGCTGCCTGTTGTTTGAATGTGACTTTTGAGGAGGTAGACCTTACACAACTTGCACAGCAGCTGGGAGCTGCTGGGAGTTAAGACTCTTTGTGTTAATTAAATGTACACCGATAAGCACATACAGCCACAAGGTTGCTTAATCATGGGCTGACCTGACATGGAGACCTTGAATACAGCTGACTGATGATCCATGACAGCTTGACCTGGTAGATGGGAAGATGTTAATAATAACTAGAGAGAAATTTAGAAGGGTTCTCAGCTGTGGCCAAGGATCGTCTCCAACAAGACCGAATTCTTGAGGAAAAGGTCTCTTCACTGTGATGGATGAAAGAGGATGAATTCCACTGGCTGAAAGCTCACACAAAATATATTCTGCTTAGGAAAAAGATGCATCTGGAGTATGTTTTTAACAGCCAGGTGGATTAGCAGCCAGATCAGCTGGCACAGGATGCATTTCTACTCTCAGCTGCACCTATGTGTTTGCTCTGTCTTTCCAGGAGCATGTTTGTGTTTCTCCAGGTATTCTGCCTCACAGAATAGATTGCTCTTAGCTTTTAATCCTGCATTAGAGGCTTCCTGTTTCTCTGAGTCAAACAGAAGTCACACGACAATAAGACCTCCAAAAGCCGTGTAATAATCACGTCTCCCTGAGCAGGCACAGTGGACTTGGGCTATGCCATTCCTTGGGTTTCTTTATTTAGTCAGTGGAATCTCCTGCTGATCAGGACATTACCTGCTGCATCCTTCATTTTAGTGATCCAATATCTTCTTTCTGTTGGTATTTCCTGATGCCATGAGTTGACCAAGATTTTAACATGGGTGTTTGTTTTGCAGTAAACTTGGAAAAATACATTGTTTCCAATTTTTAACAATAAGGGCCTGTGAAGATTAACAGGGTTACGTGCCTCTAAATAAGTAAAGCAAAGAGCTTCTGAGATATACAAGACCATGGAAAATTTTAAGAAAACCTATTTACCTCCTTACTGTTATGTTTTTTTGGTGGAATAGTGAATGGTTAGTTTTATCTGTTATACCTGATGTCTAACCTCAGCTCTCCTGCGTGGCCCTCAGGGATCCTCTTTTCCTCGCTGAGGATGTGAAGAGCAGCTTGTCCACTTGATCTTGGCAGCAGCCTTTTATACATTTTGGAAGTGCTTTAATATACCCCCTGGTTTTCCCCTGAGAACTAACCCACTTGCTTTGCAGTTTACTCCTTTCTGTGCTTTTTTCTGTGTTGTCTTCAAGCTCTCAGCAGTTTGTCCATTTAGGATACATCCATGAACTCTGTGCCAGTGTGGGCAAAGGAGAGGATGACTCCAAGTCTTGCACATGCAAGACATGTCTATTCATACAGCCCTACATATTGCTTGCCTGCTTCAAAGCAAAATGCCACTATTGCTCAAGCTCCGCCTGTGACCTGCAGTTACCACAGATCCCTTCTGAGTGAGCAGGTCATGCACAGTGATTAAGGGTGGGGATGTGCAGTCCGTGCTGTGTGAGGTGTTATGGTAATAGCTATTATTTATGTCAATTTGTTGTTTGTGTGTGGACCTTATCCCTTCACCTAACAGTACTGTGGACAGCACAGGTGAAGAGACAGCTGCTCCATCTGAGAGCCAGCAGGTTAGTGTACAAGTGGTGGACAGAGTCTTGAGAAATTTTCAGTGTTCCTGTTCCCTCTCCCCTTTGCAGTTTTCTGGGTGCCTGCTGGGATGTGGAGGAGGAGCCCAGGCAGTCTCTTAAGCAGCACTGGAGCCCTGTGTCTGCCAATATTGTGCTTTTCTGTTGCTGCTGATAGGTGGGGATGGAGTAAATCTTCAAGTGTCTTTTAATCACAGAGTGCTTTGCAACTGCCAAGACACTGCTCTATTTGACACTGAAGCATAACCAGCACAGTGCAGAGCAGCACTGTGTGTCCAGTTTGGGTGGTACCTGGAGAAACTTAGAGGGAAAATCAGTATAAACAACCATAACTGATAGCATATGTCTAATAAATCAGGCCAGTGGTTTTGTACTCCCTTGGCTTCACTGCAGAGTGGAGTGGGAATATTTGAGAGCTGGAAGGTCTGTTAGGAACTTTCTGTTCTTTATGGAGAGTTCACAGATATCCCTATTTCACTTTTGCTGTTGCTCAGAACAGGGATGGTGGGGAAGGACTTTGGCGTGTGCAGAGTGATGTTAATGCAGGATTTCTGTGTGAATCATAGAGTCATAGAATGGTTTGGGTTAGAAGGGACCTTGCAAACATCATTTAGTTCCAACCTCCCTGCCCTGGGCAGGGAAATCCAGAACAGTTTTCATACTTGCTGTTGCCTTGGAAAACTGACATGTTTATGACTCAGTCTTTGAGCAAGAGGGCAGAAGGTTTTTTTCCATTCTTGGATGTGGCCTCTTGTGCATCCAACAGTGATGTTTTTCTTCTCCTCTACTCGCCCTTTCCCTGCTTCATCCCTTCCATTGCAGTTCCTGTGAGCTGAGCCTCGTGTGCAGTGCAGTCACCCTCACTTTGAGTCAACCCAGCCATGCCCCTGGAGTGGGAAGAGAATGTCACTTTGCTGCACATCATGGGAGCCATCAGCAGTCACAGTCCTCGAGCTGTGTGTGCTGTGTACACTGTGAACCATTTCGGGGCTGCAGATTCAGCTCAGCCCTGCAGCTTTTCATCTGTTTAGTTGGAAGTAAATAATTTTTATTTGAGGTCAGAATGCAGCAGAGCTGTGGGTGCCAAGTTCACCAGCCCCAGTGTATTATGTTATGTGGCAATTTAAGGCTTTCCTCATGGCAGTGGGGAGCTATAAAATTATTGTGAAATTAGTTATTTAGGTAAATGGTGCTTTAAAGACAGCATTGATCCTACTTTGAAAACTAGTTTTAATAGGAGTGAAGCCAATAACACCTTAATATCCACTGTTACCATAGCTGCTCAAAGTGATTGTTTGCCAGATTAAAAGGCTTTTTTTGTTTTTTTTAATCATACCCTTTCTGCGTATTTTGCCAAGGCTTTGACTGATAGGAGTTTATATTCCCAGTCAGTGTAGCATCAATATCTGAGTGCTTGAAGAAACAGCTTTGCTCTTAGAGCTGAGCTCCTACTTAAAAGACCCTGAAACCTCAGTCTAGATCAGTTATATCTAGGCTTTGCTTTAATTCAAGATTTTCTCTGCAGCTTTATGAGCCTGGTTTATCAGATCGAAGCAGAGCTTTCAGACATGATTCAGGAGCTGCTCTACTGTTTGTGTTCTGATTTCCCTCTGCCTAGAAACATTCAGTTATTTTTTGTGCTCCTGCTTGGGCAGTACTAAGTATTAGGAGTAGAAGCTGGGCACTGAGAGTTAGGTTGTAGGGCAATTTCTCCCTTTCACACAGAATTCCAAGTGATTCACATCTCCCTGTTACCCCAGCCTCCTTTGGGTACAAACACACTGGAATTCTGGGCTGGAGGGGACTGGAGACAGACAGCTGGTTGTGGGCAGGGTTTGGTTTTCCCATAGATGCCTCAGTAGTGTGGAGGTATGTGGAACTGAGCCCAGCCCTGTGCAGAGCCGTGCCAGCACTAGCCCTGTCTGGGAGTTGTGACTTTTTATGGAGCTTGTGAGGGCCTCTGTTCCTGAGCAGTGAAGCATCAATTGCCTGCACTAGGAAGGATTTGACCTCAGTACTGGAATCTGGGAATTCAGATGGTGATTGGGATGGAGGAACCCCCTTGCCCAGTATAATTTTTCTAGAAGTGGTTGCAGGTGGTCAGCAAAGAGGGGGAGCAGGACGCACAAGTATCCTATCTTATGTGTTTGTTCCAGGACATTTGCTAGTATTTTGTTTGTATAATAACCTGAAATGAATCTCTGAAGTGCTTGTCCTGCCTCCCTTTAATCCGTGTGTAATTCTTCCGTTCGTGGTACCCTTTGAGAGCTAAGAGGCAGTAAGCAGACTAGAGGAAGATAACAGGAATGTTGAAAGAGGAACTGCTGCTCTGAAGGGAAGTTGTTAGTGGAAATCAGCCTCAAAATGGAAGTTGTTCAATACATGAAATAATGCTCCAAAAGGTAAGACTTCAATAGTGATTATTTCCTAAAGACACACAGCTAAGGAAGCATCATCAGAGGCTGTTCAGTGTTATTCAGCAGGAAAAGCTGGGATTATTCCTTAAGGAACAGTACAAATGGGAACCAGATAGTTCAAAATTGCATGGTTGTGTGCCTGAGAAATGAGCAAAACCTTCAGCTCTGTCTGGAAGGTCACTGTGGGAAAGTGACAGTGGGGGGAAAACTCAGGGTCTCAGAGCGGTGTACAAGATAACTGTGAGCATCTGACATGATGCAGCCATGGAAAAGATACATGTCACCCAATGTGACACATTGGAGAAAGCATCTCTAGCAGACATGGGGAAATTTTAGCATATTAAGGCATGGGAGGCCTTGCTTGGAAGATTGTGAACGTTTCCAGTCACTCTCTGAAGGCTGTGTGCAAACTGGGTCGGGTCCAGAGAAGGAGTATGGGTATGATCAAAGAAATGGAAAGCCTACCTAATGTGAAGTGATTAGAGAACTCAAATGATATGACTTTAAACACAGGCTGGATAAATGCTGACGTTAAAGCTCATTTTTGGAACATGAGTGAATAGGGGTGAGCTGTGCATGGATAAAGATAAGCTGGAAATTCAGAGAATGTTCTTAAACATCAGAGGACTGAACTTGGGGAATTAATTCTGTTAGAAGACAGTTAGCAAGCAACAAGAAATGTCCAAATTCTTTGAAAAAACAGGAACAACTTTCTCCTTTGAAGCCATTTTCTCATTTAGAGGTGTGGCTCCTGCCTTGGGTTGCTAGCCCTGAAGAAATCAGTACTGCTGTTGTGGGCAGTGGGCAGGGCTCACTGGGACACGGGGTTATTATGGTGGGCTGATGAATTCGGATTTTCTTTGACTGGCAAAACCTCACAGACTCCTGTGCCTCTGTCCTCAGTTCCCCTTGGAAGGCAGGCTCAGTGTGGACTGGCTAGCAATTCCCCAGGGAAATGCGAGGGCTAAGGGCAAGCATTTCCACTGTGCTAACATATGTTTTTATCAGTCTGCTTGGATTTTTGACCCCTCGTTCAAAAGCTCGTGTAGCTGTTCCCACTGAACAGAAAAGATGTCGAGTGTATGTCAGCCTGTATTGATCTCTGTGTGTCAGAGAGATGGTGTTTGACCTTGAAGGAATGGAGAATTATTTTCGTTTTCCTTTATTAGAATTTTTACAAAGTTTCATCATCTACTTTTCTATTGGCTCCTGTTTTCTGGTTCCCCCTTGCTCCAGTTGAGCAGACCCATGCTCTTCTTTGAACTCTGACCAACATCCCTTTCTCTGCCATTCCATAAACAGCCTGGATGGTGTTGGTGCTGGGTAAGGTTGCCATGGGATTTAGATTTCTGCCACAAACAATGGATGAGCAGGGTGGGAAGATGCTGAACTCCTTTCACCTTGCTCCCTGAGCACATGGGAAAGAGTGAAGATGTCCCTGTGGCCATGGTACAAATGTGTCCAGAATGTGTATCCTAGCCATGTTCCTGCTGTTGCACCTGCAGAGAGCAAGGTACAGGTTTTCTGCTGCGATAGAGAGCTTGCTGTTGCTTGTACCACCTTCTGTTTGCTTGAAAATCATGGACACACTGAAGGTAATGAGAGATTGGTCAAAATGCCACCCTTGAGGAGGAGGTGGCAGACAGCTCCCTCGCTGGGGTACAGCTTTGAGCTGGAGGCAGCAGCTGGGGCTGCCTGGCTGTTTCAAGGGTGGCCAGGTTGTGCCCCACCCCTGATGGTGAGGGGTGATTAAAGACCTGTCCTGGCATTGTGCTTGATGTCGGAGCTACAGCCCAGACAGCTGACTGGAATCTGGGGCTGAGCTGTTTCCAGTTCATGCATCACTGGAGCAGCTTTGCAGCAAATGGGTGGGAGGCTGGGTCAGCTGGTGGGTGATTTTACTGCACAATTGCAGCAAAAGTGGAATGGGTTCTTGTGCGTGGGTGTGTGCTGACCTTAGCAGCCAATTCTTGAGTGGTATATGAAGGAAGAAGCCCAAGCCCGAAATGTGTTGAGCCTTCTAACACCGAGTTGATCTATTTGTGACCTAGCTGTTGTCAGCAAGAGCTCCAGTACATGTACAGCTCATGTCCAGTGTGACTGCAGCACCTGGGGCTCGCTCAAAGTGGAAAGCTTTGCTGCAGCCCAGGACTGGGAGGAGGATGTGCCTCCTTACTGGAATTCACAGGTGGGAGATTGTGTTGTGCATTCAGTTCTGACAGCCCCGGAACAAGGGGTAAGGAGGTGAGATGGCAAAAATCCTTCCTGACACTTGTGATGCGTGTGGATAGTGAGGCTGACATTGCTTGATAAGGAATTTTCTCCTGCTGAGCTACTTACATCACAGAGTGCTGGGGTCTGTGGGAAGCACCTGCCCCTAACTACCCAGGTGAAGCAGGATGGGAACCCCTGTTACTGTAGGGGCAGGCATGCCTTGACACCTCCAGCTCTCTCACCTTCCTTCTCCAAGGAATACAATCACCAGCCTGCAGAATCCCTGCTCCTCCTTGCCTGACAGTGTGGAGTCAGCCATGCTCCTCTTTCTGCCCTGACTCATCTCTGTGATCAAATAGAAGTCATCTCCTGGAAGACAGTCTGCGAGAAAGAGCTTTGTTCTTCCTCATTAGTGCCTGAGATCTCCTGCTGCCTGCAAAGCTTTGGGACAGGCCATCAGTTCCTAGCGCTGTTGCTGAGCGAGGCAGATCAGGGAGGGAGATGCAGCAAAGGGGGGTGTGTGCTGCAGAGGGTCGAGGCCATGTGAGTTTGAGATCTGGGGAACGTGCAGAATGTATGTTGGGGAGGAGGGTACAGACGTTTATGCTGGGAACAGATGTGTAAATAGGAGTGTTTCTTCAGAACCCCCTGCTTCATTGCTCTGTCTAATCTTAAAGAAAATACCCCCCTGACTCCATCTGCTCTGGTATGTGTGTCTGCTACAGCAGACAGGCATTGCTGTCGGTGAATTGGTTAATGCCAGTGTCCTGTGGCAGGGGCAGGGATGAAGGCAAGCACTCAGCCTGCCAGCATTTATACCTCCTGGCGTCAGCATTGGCAATGCTTGTGGAGGACTGGGGAGGGCACCGAAATAGTTTCCATTCTCCTCTCTGCTGTGGGAACGAGTCTCCTGGGTTACAAATGCTCCTTGTTCTGCACAGAGCTCCACAGCTGAAACTCTCCCTCTATTTCCTCGCTGTTGCTCCCTGACTGTCCCAGCTGAAGGGGCCGGAGATGTCTGCTTGAGCCTGCTTTAATTAACACTGACAGTACAATGGGACTGGCCATACAGGGGTCCTGGGGCTGCACGGTAATGGGAGCACAGTAAATAGTCTCATTTACAGCAGCTTGGTTGGAGCAGAGCCTGCCAGGACTGGCTTTCTGCTTGCTGTAATGGCCAGGCATAGAGGTAGGTCCCTCACTCCTGCGTCCTCCCAGGGGTTTGTCCCTGCCTCTTGAACAGGACCAGCTGGTGGAGTGGGTCCTGAGCATCCCAGGAAAGGCAGCCAGCCGGCTGGGGAGCATAAAGTGCCACTGATAGGACTTACACAGTGACTTCTTGGGAAGGACCTGACCAGTGGAGCCTGACCTCTGGGGCTGGTGGAGGGATCATTCACTGTGGTTTGGAGGTGAGTAGCAGAGCTACATCTGTGGTTTGCATTGCAAACAGTCTGCACAGCCTACAGCCCAAGGCCCTTACTCTTTTCCCACTGGAATGGTTTCTTTGCACTGGGGTAGTCCTGGACTCCTGCCTCTGAAGCCCTTGGTGGGAATCACCCGCCAGCCCTATGGTTTTCTCTCAGAAATCTGATTTAAATGTTACTTGGAGAGATATTTAAAAGCTTCGTAGTGTTCTTGGACCTGAGATAATTGGCAGCCACTTCCAGTAATAAGTCTAACATTTTTTTGTCATAGCTTTTATGTTGACCTCTCCAGAGGCAGAAGCTTCTGTAAAGTGTTATATTGTCTAGGTTGTTGTATTTGTGTTACTTGTTCGCTGCTTTGGGTGCATTATGGCATGAAGTAAAAAGTACTCAGTCATGTGGCAGCTCTTAATTTCTTAGAATTTTATGTCCATGTGGTAATTTTACCCCTTCTCTGCCTTGGTCTGATCTGCTCACTTCCCACAGAGCCTCAGTTTAGGAGATTGGGGGGGTCACAAGTTTTGCTTTTTCCAGTGTGGATTCTCCAATTTCTGAGCTGTGCTTGGCTCTACACAGGGCTGTAGGGACGAGGCTGGATGAGAAAGGGCAGTAATGTGAGTGGTCCCTCCAGGATGGATGCTGGTCCAGCTAGAAACATCTTCCCTGGCACAGCACTGGCCAGAGCACAGCTGAGTTTCTGGGGTGCTATGACACAGTGGATTGGAAAGCAAAATTAGCCACATTTGTCCCTTGCACAGCTATTGTGCCCTGTCAGGAGCTGCAATGCTCTGCCTATGGAGCATATTCCATCACTTCTTCTCACCAGCTGCCTCTGGTGAAAAGAGATACAGAAAAATCCTTCCAAATAGCAAGAGAGCCTGAGCTTTGCAGGTGGTGACCCCCTGTTTCAGGTAGGAAGATCTGCTGTGGGTTGCTTTACCAAGATGCTGGAGTCTAGCCTAGGTCATGGGCAGCACTTTAATCACAAACTGCAGCTAAGAGTTGGTGGGATCTTGATTTGAGGTCTCCTGTGAGAGCAGGGACTGCAGACAGCCTGCCCCTACCAGGTGGGTTCAGCACTGTGGGCAGTGGTGGTGGTTGCATCTTGGTCTGGAGGTAGCTGCATTTCAGGGATGCTGTTTAGATACTGTTGATGAAGCTGTCTAGGGCAAGGCACTGATGGAAATCTAAAGAAGCTTCAGGAAACTTCTTGCAGTCTTTCCATCCTCCTCTTCCTCCTCTTATGCATTGCTTTTCAGACTGCCATTTTATCTCCAAGGGTTCTATCTGCCATTATCAACAGTAGGAACACTTCAGTCCCTTTTGCTTTCCTTTGCAAAGACAGGGTGAAGAGACCAGGCAGTCTTCAAGCTCACAACATCTGAAATCCGGTCTCATCACAGAATAGGGTGCTGCAGCTTTCTTTTATGGCACGGCTTCGATCTTTTTATTTCTCCTCATGCTGCCTCCCTGATTTCCCAGTTCCTGTAAGAATCAATCCTCCATCATCCCCTCCTTTTCTGCTCCCTCCCATCCCCTGCCTTGTCTGAGGTTCCACAGGGACTGACTGCGAGCTGAAGCGGCGGTGCTGTGGGCATGCTTGCTCCTTCACACGCAGCAACGTCACAGCAGCAGCAGCAGCAGCAGGAGCATCGGGGATGTGATTGCGCAGACCCTCTGCATTGCCAGGGATGCAGCTGTGAAGAAAAAAAAATAATCGGGAAAAAAAATTGACTCTGTGTTTCCCACAGCATCCTGGTGAGAGAGCACGGAGCCTTCTGGAATCTGAGCGCTCAGGAGTGCCGGAGCAGAGTGTCTGTGCTGTCAGGAGACGGGGAGCGAAGGATCTGTGGAAAGGTGAGATGGACAAATTGTCAGGGTGGGTGTCAGTGGTGCTGTTGGTTTTTGGGCCTCTCGGTGGCCAGTTTGTTTTTGTGGAGGATGCCAGCTAGCCGATGAAGCTTAAGGATTTTAGGGCTGCTTTGTCTCTTCGGAGGCTGCATTGCTTTGGAGCTGGCTGTGGCTGTCATGGATGTGAGCGAGCGAGGAGGCTGTGGCTGCTGCGCAGTGTGTGTTTGTGCATTGTAGCTGTGAAATAGCAGTTGTCATGTCCGGGGCTGGCTGTGCAGAGGCGAGTCGTGCTTCGCCCTGGCAGTGCCTCCGCACAGCTCTCCATTGTGCCTGCCATGACAGCCGAGCCCACACGGATTGTTGTGGTCCATGCTCTCCGCGCATCCCTGGCGGTGATGCTGCTGAACAGCTCAAAAGCTGTTTTGACAGACAGCGCTTCCATGAAAAGCCAGAGACAAAGGGCTCAGACAGAGGAAAGGTTGCTGTCACTGTGGCTTTTGCCTTCTTTTTTTGGCTTTTCTTTTTTTCCTTCTTCCCCGCCCCCCCTTCATCCCCACCCCACTAAATACTAGTAAATCATTTGTTCAAAAGGCATTAGGGTAAATATCATGGTATGTAAAACCCTGTCCTTCTTCTAAGTGATACACGGGCTCTGTGCAGGCTGGAATCCTTTGTGTTGCCAGGGTGTGTCTGTGCTGACTGTACAAATGGATGCTTTCATGCTTTCTCCCTTCCTCTTCTCACAGATCAGATGAGAAAGGTTATCTAGGAATGGAGGAATTACTGCTTTTAATTACTGAAATGAGGGGGTCCAGACTGGGTACCAGTTACTGGAGCTTAATTACATGGTCTTGTTATAGCCAAATCCCTCTTTTCTCTCCCCGCCTTCCTTCTTCTTCCTCCCTCCCCCACCCTCTGCACAAATCCTTCCATTAAATTGCCTCTGCAAATAGGAGAAGGGCTTGAACAAAGAGAACGGTGTATGTGGGATAGTGACATAGATGCTGGAGGGGCGAGGTTCACCATGACACTGAGAACAATAAAGCAAAAAGTATAAAAAAATGAGATTTTGGTGTATATGTTAAAGTGACGTGGCTGTAGGGGAATGTGCAAATGGAATTGTCATAACAAAAGGAGATAATCAAATAGCAGATTCAGTCTTCTGAAGTTATGGAAAATGCTGAGCGCGTGGGGTTGCAATTGCAGGATTTTGGGTGGATGTGAAGTAAATGGGAGTCGCAGAATAACATATTATACAAGGTGTAGATTGATGGGTGTCATAAAGGTGTGCTAGAGTGCAAGGGAAGTAGAGATCTGCATTTTTATCTCCACACAGTTGCAGCCTTTTATACCAGTCGTGTTAAAGAATGAGCTTGGCAGGTCTTACATATTGACAATGCTTTTTTCCCATTTGCCAGTGACCCAAGAATAATTCAGACAAATGCTTCTTAGGCCTATAAAGAGCAACAGGATGACAGGAAAAATGTAGATAAAATGGTAGATATTTGACAGAGCTGCAGAGGAAGTGTGGAAAGAAGAGGCAGATGAGAGGCATTGCAGAGCTGGGGGAGCAGGAGGTTTGGGTCAGAGACCAGTGGGAGAGCGCACAGAGGGGAAATTCAGGGTTGTCATTGTCAGGGAATGCAAATGTGTTGTTTCTGTTGTCGTTCTCCAGCCTGTCACTGTGCTCCCCGAGACGCTCAGTGCTGCGTGCAGCCCTGCAGGGTTTGTGGGGGTGGGGGTGATCCTCAGCACAGCCTTTTCTGCAGTAGCTCTCCCGAGGAACCATTTTGCTGCTGCAGGTTCTCATTTGGTTGCTCCCTCTCCATCCCTATGGAGTGACAAGGCTACACAACCTTTTTACCTGGTCATGAAGGCAAACCCAGAGTTTCAGTGCAGGGTGCCAGCTGAGAAGGAGAGGGCTTCCAGCAAAATCTCAGAGTGGCATGTTGCCTTCTTGCAGATCGATGACAATGTCCAGGAAGCATCATAGGGCTTCCTGAGCTGCAGCTCCTTCTCACACCTGTCTTGCTCTTGTACCTGGGAAAACCTCTCTGTGTCTCCCAGAATCTGTCCCTTTCAGGCTGATGGGAACAGCGAGTGGGATGTCTCCTGGAGGTGTGCACCAGACTGGGTTTGTGGTGCTGCTGCAGAGCAGGTTCTTATGGGAGATTGGTGGTGGGTAACAACAGCATGACTGTGTGCAGCACATCATGGCCTGGAGGACTGGATGTGCTACAGAATGTACAGGACACACATACCTGTGTCAGCATGTGGAAGAAAAGTCATGTATATGTGGTTTGTGTGTGCAATGCTTGCCTAAAGGAATAAAAATAAGGTGATGCAGCCTCTTTCTCTGCGTGGGGTGGGAATGTCCCCAGGGCATACAGACTGTGTCTGGTTAGTGGGTACCACTCTTACAAAAACATCTGTTAAGCAGTGAGAGTGCACAGATAATCTCTGAGATGCTTGGAAGATGGGCAAGAGGTTTTGGTGACTGGAGCTGACTGAAATCATCCACAGGACCGTGTCTTCCCTACTGCACCAATGCAGGTGATGGAGATAAAGTGCAGCTGGATCTCTAGATGTGAGGGACCTGGACCTGCATTGCAGAAAGTGCAGGTGGCCCAGGGAAATATGCTGTGAACTTAGGAATGCCTTGCCCACAGCTCCATTACTGCCTGTCAGGTGTCTGAGGCTGTGAGAGCAAATAACAAATAACAAATTTTTAGTCCCAGACATCTTAATTTTCTTCCAGTCTGATGTTCCTGGTCAGTCAAGATCTCACTCTGGTGTGGTTCCTGATGCCCAGACAATACTGTGACTTTTGCCACCCCTTGTTGTGCTTTGCCCTGTTTTTATTTCCCTGTCTTATTTTTCTTTTCTAGTGTTTTCTGAAAGACTTATGTAATAGTAAGGGCAGGTTGATAAATCTAACATGGGTCACTTTTCCTGCCCTTGCAGAACAGCTACAGACTTTTACCTTTAATGTTTGTCGGCCACATGGTTTCACCTTCTTCCACTCTTTTCTAATGGGTATTTTTATCAATAGTACAGTTGCCAGCTGCGATCAACCAGCTATTCTTTTATTGTTCTGGGATCAAGAATATCTTGTCCTTCCGACTTGACTGCTTTCATCTTCTTGAATTTGTTTCCTCTCAAACGCTCATTTCCTTTTCTGCACTTTCTTCCTCCTGTATTATCTAACCTGTCATTGATGTAGCTTCAATATTCGTCTTGCCAAAACAGCACTGAAGATTCTGTTTTTCTTACCTCTAATATCCTTTGGTGTGGTTACTAATTCAGGTTGATCAGGAGCCTTTCTCTTCTAATGTCCTCATGTTTCTTGGTGAGTCCAGATTTTTTTTTTTTTTAACTTGAATTCAAAGTATTTTCTGCAGTACTTCTCCAAGCCGTTTGTTCTTGTTGGCATTACAACTGTTTACCCTGACGCTCCAGAGATCTGCTATTTAAAAATTAAAAAGGTTTCATTGCATCTCTGTTGGCTTTTTACCATTCTGTTTAATATAAACTGGGTCAGCTGAGATGTTCAATCCAAAGCCACTTCTGTATAATGGGTGCTGGATGACAATTCATCTCAATAGGCACGGTTCTGATAGTTGAACTCCAGAAAAGTAAATCCAAAGTAAGAGATGTGGAGATCTCTGCAGGTGGTTGAGAGGGTGGAGTATTGGAGGTGGAGGTACCTTCCTGTCAGCTGTGGAATCAAGGCCCATACTGGACAAGGTTTTGTCCTCGTGCTTGTGGAAACCATTGAAATCGGATTGGTTGAGTTGAAAACCTCACTTGTCTCCTACCTCTGCTGCTTTGTGGGCAGTGTTCTGATGTGGATAAAGTGCTTCTGGCTATCCAGTCCATAAGCCCAAAAGAACCAGAAGCCCACCAGCATATTCCAGCTGTGCAAGAGGCTGCAGGATAAGGCTTGAAGAAGCTGAGAGCTTGGCTGGCAGGGGGTGAAATCCATAGCAATGATCAATGACAGCTGTATTGGTAACAAGCCTTAGCAGGGATTTACCATTATTATTATTATTATCTGCCAAGCAGGTTCCCTGCATGCCCTCACACTCCAATAAGAAAGAAATGGGCTATCAAAATACCTCTAGTCTCTAATTCTACTCCAGCTTTCTCTCTTGATGAAAATGATTTTAATATTAATTTTCTGAAAAAAGTGGGTCAAAGTGAGGACATACCTGTTAAGATGAGCACAAAAGCAGGCTGGTCCACAAGCTCTTTCTCTCCTCACCACAGTTGCAGTGTTGCAGCCTCAGGATCATGTAGACAGTATTTTTTTCTATCTCTCAGACGTATGCAAGTACTTTTTACTAGGCAAGGCTGACGGTTGCTAAATTTACAGTGGGATAAAAAACCTAAACAAGCCCCACTGTGTTTGTTAACTGCTGTAAATGGAATGGAAGGGGAAGGCAGAGCTGGAGAATGGAAGGGGAAGGCAGAGCTGGAATGTCAGTGAGTTGGCCATAATGAGCAGCTAATGGCAACTTCTCACTCAGGATCAGGGTCTGAGTTTGGACTCTTGGACGAGAGACCATGTGTTGGTGTTTGAGCAGTGCTGAGGCTGTGGGGCTGGCAGTACCTTAGAGTAATAAATAATCAATATTTGAGTGATGTCAGCAATGCTTGACCCTTGACAAATGATAGGAAACTGGCCTTGCCACCAAACTGCCACTCCAACACAAAATGCTCTTTGGAAGCAGAGAAGTGTCACTGCCCTGTTATGCTTTTGGGGACAGTGTCAAAGATATCTCAGAGTGTATGAATTCTAGCTGTTCCTTTTGGGAAGTGGGGCGTTTCTACTCTGAGAGTTATAGGGAAAAATACTCAATTAGAGCCTGTATGGAAAACCCTGGCAAAGAGACAGTAGATTTTCACCTAATACTTGCCTCAAACCTGCTGTTATCTCGGACTAGGGTCCTTGCTGCCTACCCAGTTATTCTAATCTCATCAGTTTGACTCCAGAACCACAAATT